ATCTTCACATTCTTCTAGATTAATAACTTCTTATTTTTAAGACACTTGGAAAGAGCTTTAAACTTGCACCTCTAAAATTTCACAAGTGTATAGCAATATGAGCTCAGGCAAGTCACTGCTTAACCTGTTTCCTAACCATAACAAAGGGTTACTATTACTTACCTCATGGAACTGTTACTAACTTTAAAGGAAGTACCATGTGACTAAATCCTTTAGAGTAAATCCATTATTATTATTGCTTCTCAACTTGGCAAGGAACATAAAATGGCAAATTTATCATCTTTTTTTTTAATCTCCATTTTTCCTGTTTAAAATCCTTTCTTTCTGCCAACTCTCCTTAGACAAACCATCCTATAACATTAACCCAGACCCTTGTTTGCAAGAAGGTATTTGAACTGTACCCTTTGATTTTTCTCCCAGAAACCCCTGTTAAAAGAAAGAGCAGCCCTTGGTGTTTATGCAAATTCCTTACTTCCATTGTGATCTGGAATCTACAATAATCTTCCTGTCACCTCCCCTTTTGTAATTTTAACTACTTCTACTATTAGAGGAAGGTAGGTTCTGGAGAAGAACTGAAACTGGCCCATCTAGTTCTAGTTTTAGTAGTGATTCTCTAAGACATAGCTTTAAGATTAACTACAGATTTAATTTACCTGCTATGATGTCTTTCACTATAAAATTGCCTATGTAGAATTATCTGTCATATTAGAAGTCTCTACCAAGTTGAAGATACATAAGTTAAGAAGATAAGTTGGCAGAAAAAGCAAAGATAAGTTGGCCATTAGAAGAATATTTTTATAGAAACAACTGAAAAAAACACTTTATTTTCCACCACTTTTAACTGTCCCAGATCACAGCTATCCAAAGTGTGAATCAAGATAAGGCATACGTAGCTGAAATCCAAGAATTAGAGAAAGAGGAAACCCATGTAATTAAATGCAGTGTTTAATATTAATTACATATATAACACAATACCAGGCCTTCTTGGGAATACCAACCACCTTTCAACTGAAAGGAAGCTGTATGGATAAAGAACCATTACTGATTATAAATAAGGATTAACTAGGTTTAGGTTTATTTTTAATGGAAAATTTTGTTTTATTCCAGTATGTGTTTGAATTTCCAACTGTCATAATTGTCATATTTCTTTTACAGTTTATTTGAATTAGGATCCAAATAAGTTCTACATATTATGACTGGTTGATATGTCTTTAAGTGTCTTTTAATCTGTAGGTTCCTCTCTGAATTTATTTGTTGAAGAAATTGCATTATTTGTCCAACAGCTCCGCGGGTCTGGATTTTGACGACTGCATGCCTTATACATAGTTTAAAATGTCCCATCATCCTCTGTAATTTTTGAAGATTGTTAGTTGGATTTAGAAGCTTGATCACATTCAGGGTTCCTATTTTGGGCTAGTGGGGGTGAGGCTAGGACTAACTTATAGGTGATAGCATGTTCATCAGGAGGCTCATAGTATCTGGGTATTTTCCTTTTTATGATATTCACAGATGTCAGTGCTTAATATCTCCATCTCTTAACTCATCAGAGGTTGCAAAATGGTGATATTCTATCATTCCTTATTCACTTACTAGCAGCAATACTTCTTTAAAGAGCAACTTCTTCTTATCTACTGTATTACTTTCCTGAGGCTGCTTTAATAAATAACCACAAACTTGGTGGCTTAAAAACAACAGAAATTTATTCTCTCACAGTTCTGGAGGCCAAAGTCCAAAATAAAGATGCTGGAAAAGTCATACTCCCTCTAGAGGCTCTAAGGGAGAACCCATTCTTTCCTATAAAAATGTGTACACATGCAAGTTCACATTAAAACTTAGAAAAGGAAAGATAAACCAT